GAAATGGGCAGCTGATATTAGGAGCTAGAGTAGAAGGCAAATGTTTTGAGAATGATGAGGGCAGCGAATGTACATATGTGCTTGACACAATGGATGGATGGATGGATTGTGATAAGACTTGGACGAGCTCCCAATAAAATAATTTTTTTAAGTGTTGTGCAAAGATCAGCTAGTTCAAAAAGTTGACTTTCTGTTATTTTGATGCATTTCTATTTCCTCAATGAAAATTATAGAAACTGTTCATATTTTTAAAAAAGAAAAAGAAAAAGGGTTCCTGGGGGTATAGGATGAGGAGGAAGAGGATAAAGGGAGCTGTGATCAAAGAGTTCAGGAAGAAACAAATTTTTTGAAAATCATGTTGGCAGTAATTATACAATTATGTTTGATCTAAATGAATTATGGGTTGCTATAATATCTGTAAGAGCTCCCCAAAAAATGATTTTTAAAGGGGAAAAATAACAAAACAATGATAATATTTGAAATAATTTTGCCATTCATTTTGAGGTACCAACAATGCATTTGGGAATTTGTTTTGATTTGTATCAGTCAGAGACTCCAGCACAAAATATGTGGTGTCCTCAAAAAAGGTGACTGAACAGACTTTAAGGAAGAAACTATTTACACAGATAGGAGCAGCACAGAAGAGACTGGCAAGAGATGGTAGAGTAACTCAGGTCAACTAATATTTGAGAGGTAAATGTCTATCACCCTAGATGGGAGGCATAAAGAAAGGCAGCAGTTACAAACCCAGAGACACCTTTAGCTGTATCTGAGGCAAGAGTTCTGGGCATCAGAGAGATATACATACTTACTGAAAACTAATTTTTCCAAAATAAAAAAGACCCTCATTTTTCAGGACAGACAGAGCAAGGGGATGAATACATTGCGTTTTCTTTCCTCCCTCCCTACAATCTGTCCCCTTAAGTTTTATTGGCCAAATATAATGGAAACCAGAAGGCAGCAGCCATGCCTTCCAAAAAGTAGACCCCTCCTGTAGCCCAAAGCAGACTGGAGATAAGTAAAGGCAGACCCAGAGATCCAGAGAAAACATTTAAAGTATCTTGGGTCAGATGGTGATCCCACCTAGCGATCTAGTTTGAGGATGCATCAACATATAGCATATAATTGATATGTGAAGTAGTAATCATGCCATTTCACAGATTTTAAACTGCTTATAAGTTGTCAGCTAATTCATCTAATAAACAAAGACTCTGGTCTTCTAAAGTCCAGTCTACTATTTTTTTTTAACACCGGTAATCTTAATACAGATGATAAATCGATGCTCCCTGAAATCAAAGGGGATGTGAAACACTTGAATATCAAAGACTTCAGCCTTCAGTATGGATTGCAATTCAATGTAAAAAAATAAAGTCTCACAACTGGAACACATTGAACAAACAACATTATGAAAAATGAAGAAAAGATCAAAGTTGTCAGGATTTTATTTTGCTTGAACTACAATCAATGCTGATGGAAAAAAAATAGTCAAGAAATCAAATTTACTTCACAAGACTTTAAGTGTTGAAGAGTGAGAATGTCAGTTTGAGGACAAGATACACCTGACGCAAGCCATGATATTTTCAATCACCTCACACATGTTATACATAAGGTGTTCAGTGCAGCATCAGGATAAGAGGAAGGCTTATCAACAACCTTTGATATGCAGATGGCACAACCTTACTTGCTGAAAGTGAAGAGGACTTAAAGCTCTTGTTGATGAAGATCAAGAATTGCAGTCTTTAATATGGATTACAACTTTATGTAAAGAAAACCCAAATCCTCAAAACTGGATCACTAGGTAACATCATGATAAATTAAGAAAAGATTGACGTTGTCAAGGATTTGACTTGCTTGGCTCCACTATCAATGCTCATGGAAGCAGCAGCCGAGAGATCAAAGGATGCACTGGTACATAAGATTTCTTTAGAGCACTGAAAGGCAAGGATGTTACTTTGAGGACTAAGGTGTGCCTGAACCAACCCAGGGTATTTTCAATTGCCTCATCTGCATGTGAAAGTCGGACACTGAATAAGGAGGAATGAAGAAGAATTGATTCCTTTGAATTGTGAGACGACAAAGAATATTGAAAGTACTATGGACTATTAAAGGACAAGCTGATCTGTCTAAAAGAAGTAAGGCCAGAGTGCTCCTTAGAAACAAGGATGGCAAGACTGCTCATGTTCTTTAGACATGTTGTCAGGAGAGACTAGTCTCTAGAGAAGGGCATGATGCTTGATAAAGCAGAGAGGCAGTGAGAGAAAAGAAGGCCTTTGACAAGATGTATTGACACAGTGGCTCCAACAAGGGGCTCAAACAGGAAACATTGGGAGGACAGAGCAAGACTAGGAAACGTTTCCATCGTTCATTGAGTCACTATGGGTCAAAACTGACACAATGGATCTAACAACAACAATGTATACTTGTTAAAGGTGGACAAGGAATAAGGTAAACTGCAGAACTTATGCATATGAATTACAGTGTGGGTCGGGAAGGTATCATGAATCATCCGAGGAAGCATGGGCTGCCAGAAGAAGGAGCAGATCTTTCTTGGAAGTACAGCCAGAGTTGGTGAGAGTCATCTCACCATCATTTGGACACTGTGTTAGGTGGGCAAACTAGAGAAACAAATCTAGGGAGATGCTCATATGTGTATATGAGAGCACTTTATATAAAAGAGCAATTGTACATTAAGAAAACATCCCAACCCAGTCCAGATCAAGTCCATAAGTCTGATAGCAGCCCATATGTCCGATACCAATTTATGAATTCCTCTTCAGACTCACACAACACATGCAATGATGCTGAATGCAGAAAGATCACAGCCAGTGGGTGGAAAGTCGTGTGGATCCAGTGGCAGTGGAAGCATCTCAACACTGGCAAGTATCTCCACGTGATTCCTCCAGCTCCAGGGCTCTAGCTCATGGAGCTCTAGCATAGCTACATGTGTCTTGTCAGTGGAAGATGAAGCAGAGAGTGCATGTGTGTCTGGCCTCCGTGAGCTTTTTATCTCCCTGGCACCTCCAAATGAGTTCATCAAGCTGATACCTGATTGATAGGCTAGATTCCATCCCTTCACAAGTTGGCAGGAGATGATGTAACTACCACAGAGACATCATCAGACAAAAGCAGTCCCTGGAGAAGGGCATCATGCTTCATAAAGTAGAGCATATTAAAAAAAGAAGAAGCTTCTCAAGGAAATGGATTGGCACAGTGGCTGCAAAATTAAGCTCAAACAGCAACAACTGTGAGTATGGCCACAGGACCATGAAGTGCTTAATTCTGAGCGGAGATAGGGCTTCTATGAATCAGAATGCACTAGAGGGTCCCTAACGATCTTCATCTTAATCACTGTGGGTCGTAAAGGATCCATGAAAAGGAGAAAGACCATTACTGAGATGAATGAACACAGTGAGTGCAACAACAGTTCACACACAGCAATGATTATGAGGGTGCCTCAAGATAAGGGCCTCTGCTCAATTGCACATGCGCTCCTCTGAGTGGGAACCAACTCCATAGCACCCAACAACAATCTGACTCCAAACTCTAAGCGGCTTCAAGTCATTGCTGACTCAGAATGACCCCCTGTGCGTTTCTGAAACTGCCATGGTTTACGGGAGTGGAAAGCCCAGTCTGTCTCGCACAGAGCTACTGGTGGTTTAGAACTGCCAACCATGGGGATGGCAACCCAATGCATAACCATCCACCAGGACTCCAACAGTATTAATCAGTGATAATTTGCCAAACCTATGTACTGGCTTTAGCGATGAGCCTATGTCCCAGGCTTGGCTCATCAGATTAATCCAGCCTTCTGAACATGGTGATTGATTCATAAATGACCATAGGTCCGAAATTCTAGCAATCAGAAGAAATCTGTGAAAGCATTGCCAAAGAAATTTTCCCCCTGATGTTGCTCCACTATCCAGTAGTAAGATAAAAACTCAGAATCGCTGATGGTCTTTTGTGCCATGCCACTTCTTTTTTTTTTTTTTTAATGTCGCAAGTATGAAATAAAGCAGAGCCACAGGAGAGGCCCAGCCCTTTGGACTCTCCTGCCATTTCTGTAGCATTCATTCATTATCTTGGAAATAAGTACAAAGGAAGCTACCAAGAAGGTTTAAAATGCTGGCCATGCCACTTCTGTGGTGGCTTTCACCTAAGCCAATGTGGCATCTTTCACTGAAACTGATGGTTAAAGTAAGAACAGTTCCGTTGTCAGTTACCTTCAATAAACAGCAGTTGTCACCAACTCACAGGAGCCCTTGTTGTGTCTTGGTTACACATTACGCTGTGATCCTCCTGGTCTGCAGTTCAAAACCATCAGCAGCTCCATGGGGAAAACTCTGGGTTTTCTGCTCCTGGAAATAGCTACAGTCTTGGAAACCCACAGCATTGCCTCATGGAGTGAGTTTTGGAGGGTTTTTTGGTTTGTTTGTTTGGATTTTGGTTTTAACTGGGGAAAGTCTACCTATTATTGAAGCGACATAAACACCACCCTCCAGAAAAGAGGAGAAAATAACTAGTCTCTAGATTCAACAATATCTAAATTCAAGTAAACTGTCCTTTACATGCCAAAGGCAGTTTGAGTTGGTTTCTGTCACAGGACTACATCAATGCCAGCTGCCATATTTACCATATGTTGACTTTAGTTAATGTGAAAAATGGATTTCAGATTTTATTTGAACTTGACCATTTGTAGATCGTCTTTCAATCCAAGGATAGCTACATTATTATATTTTAAGAGATTGTCAATAATTACTGAGTCCAATAATTATAACTCACATAGGGAAATCCTTTGAGCCAAAGTGAGCTATCCCTAACCTTCTGGGCCTGCATGTGATTAAGCATTTTCATCACATCCAGATGGTTCTGTGGATTAGGTGCTAAGCTTCTAACCTCAAGGTCAGCAGTTCAAACCCACCAGCTATTCCAAAAAAATATGAAGTTCTTTAATTCTGTAAATAGTTAGTCTCAGAAACCCTGTCTAGAGTCTCTGTGAGCCAGTATTGACTCCATGACAATGGATTTTTCGTCTCATTTAGGCCAACTGAATAATAGAAGAATAAGTGAAAATATATATTTAACACTTTAAAATATTTGGAAAAATATTTCTGTGTTTTGTTGATGTTGTTATGGTTTGTATTTATTTAGTAATGTTTATGGCTTTGCTTTGTTTTGTCTTGAAAGGTCATGACTAAGAACTTCAAAGTCTAAAACTGAAAGCAGAAACTGAGGTAGTAAAATTCTGTATCATAAAAGCTGGGTGATGTGTAGATTGTGATAAGAATTGTAGGAGCCTCCAATAAAATTATTTTTTAAAAAGCTGGGTGATACCCTGAAACTATTGCCCTTTAAACCATAAATCAAAAATACCCTTGACGTCTTCCTAAAATAATTAAACAAGTTTTAAAAAAAGTCTGTGTGAGCATTATACTCCTTTAAGAAATATCTATACAAGGTCTCAAGGAGCCCAGCTGGCACAGTGGGTGGCGTGTTGGGCTGCTAATCACAACCTCAGCAGAAAAACCTCACCCAGAGAGATAGATGAGACGTTCTGTTCCCATGAAAAACCAACAGAAACTGCTCTGCTCTGTCCTAAAGGGCCACGACGAGTCAGCTTTGAGTCCATGACAGTGAGTTCCAGAGAGCATATAGGATCAAATTTATAATAACCACTTGGATGATCAGATAGGGACCTTAAGAAGCAGTATTTTATGTTAATGAGGGAAGAACAATTCAGTTAAGGAAGGTAAGAATGGTTGCGCATCTGTGTTAGTCTGGGTAGACTAGAGAAACAAATTCATAGATATATGTGTATAAGAGAGAGATTTAGATAAACGGTAATTTTTTAACTCATTTTATTGGGGGCTCATACAACTCATCACAGTCCATCCACCCATCCATTGTATCAAGCACATTTGTACATTTGTTGCCATCATCATTTTCAAAACATTTTCTTTCTACTTGAGCCCTTGGTATCAGCAACTCATTTTCCCCTCCATCCCCCACCCTCCCTCCCTCATGAATCCTTGATAATTTATAAATTATTATTTTTTCATGTCTTACACTGACCGATGTCTCCCTTCACCCACTTTTCTGTTGTCCAACCCCTGGGAGGGGCTCATATGTAGACCATTGTGATCAGTTCCCCCTATCTCCGCCCACCTTCCCCTTACCTTCATGGTATGGCTACTCTCAATATTGGTCCTGAGGGGTTTATCTGTCCTGGATTCCCTGAGTTTCCAGCTCTTATCTATACCTGTGTACATGCTCTGGTCTAGCCAGATTTGTAAGGTAAAATTGGGGCCATGATACTGGAGGTTTGGGGGGAGCATTAAAGAACTAGAGGAAAGTTGTATGTTTCATCGGTGCTACACTGCACCCTGACTGGCTCATCTCCTCCCCGCGACCCTTCTGTAAGGGGATGTCCAGTTGCCTACAGATGGGCTTTGGGTCTCCACTCTGTACTCCTTCTCATTCACAATAATAGGATTTTTTGTTCTTTGATGCCTGATACCTGATCCTATCAACACCTCGTGATCACACAGGTTGGTGTGCTTGTTCTATGTGGGCTTTGTTGCTTCTCAGCTAGATGGCCATTTGTTTATCTTCAAGCTTTTAAAGCCCCAGACACTATATCTTTTGATAGCCGGGCACCATCAGCTTTCTTCACCACATTTGCTTATGCACCTGCTTTGTCTTCAAGGATCGTGTTGGGAAGTTGAGCATCCTGGAATGCCAGTTTAATAGAACAAAGTTTTCTTGCATTGAGGGAGTACTTGAGTAAAAGCCCAATGTCCATCTGCTACCTTAATACTAAACCTATAAATATTTGTATATAGATCTATTTCCCCATCATCACATATAAATATATTTACATATGTACATGCCTGTACATTAAGAAAGCATCCCAACCCAGTCCAGTCCAATACCATAAGTCTGACATTAGCCCATATGTCTGATACCAATCTATAAAGTCCTCTTCAGAGTCATGAAACACATGCAATGATGCCAAATGCAGGACTATCACAGGCCAGCGGGTAGAAAGTCTTTGGATCCAGTGGCGTTGTAAGCATCTCAGTGCTGGCAGGGGTTACTAAATGGCTTCTCTGACTTCAGAGGTCTGGTTGCATCAGGGTAGGTCCATGTGGCTTCTTCAGCTCAGGGCACATGATAGTTCCATGTGTCTTGTCAGCTGAAATGTCTCCCAGGGAGTGAGCAGAGGGAGAGAGGCGTCTCCCACCTCCAAAGAGGAAATAATGGGATTTCCCAGAATTCTCAGGAGAAGGCCATGACCACACAGAGGCCTCATTGGCTGCCACCCGATTTGCAGACTAGACTCCACCCCTTCACTCTTAATCCTCTCAAGTCTCAAATTGACACCAGATTATGTAACTTAACAAACATCTCCAAGAATGAAAGCAATGTCACTAAATTATACATGTAGAAAGAACTGAATTGGTTTGCAAGGGGGCTTCAAGAAGTTCATGAAAAAATTCATTACTGGGAGGGGGAAAGGAGCATTATAACTGATTGTGATGATGTATATACAACTCTTTTAAAAAGTGATTTAACAATGGAACTGCATGATATGTGAATATTATATCAAGAAAACTACTGGGGGGTGGGGAAAGGAAAGAAACCAAACTTGACCTTTGGTTGCCGTGGGGAAAGGAGGAAGAGTTTTTGCTTTGCTTTGGGGACATTGAGCTCATCTTGGTAGTGGTAGAACCATTTGGAGAGGATATCAATAATGGTTGTGCAACCCAAAGAGTGCCATCAATGACATTGTAGTACACATATAGAAATTGTTGAATTGGAGAATGTTTTGTTTCATATATTTTTGCCAAAATTGAAAAAAAATTACATGAATAACAATAAATACAGGGGGAAAGGAAGTATTCTAAATTGAGTTTGGTAAAGATTGTACAACTCTTCTTGATATGGTTGAACTGTTGAATTTTCTGTAGATGACGTGCCAATAAAACTGTTAAAAATGTTTTCATTACTTGTAATTCTATTTTCAGTGCATTTTTTAAATCCATGCATTCCCTTGCATGTTTTCCTGTGTAATTCTCAACAACAGCAAAACTAATTCTATTTTGGGAAAAAATAATGATGAACTCTCAAAATGTATTTTAACAGGGAGCGATCAGGAAGATGTGTTGAATGAAATAAATAAATCACAAGAGGACAAATTCTCCATGATCTCACTCAAAATATAAATTCTCTATGATTAGATGTTACGTATAGAATATTTTTAAATTCAAACAAGCTAATGTCTCTCAGTTTTCCATTTGATTTTATGTTTAGCAAAGTATGAATGGGTTTGAGTCATTGATATGTAATGTATCATTTATTAACTTGTATGTAGAAATAATTCATGATAGCCAAAATTGAAATAAAATGGCTGATAGAGCAATTCTCCCTACAGAAAAATCACTCTAGGTTACTGAGTTGCCTTTTCAATTTTCAGTGGAAAGTTATTTCCAGTATTATAAAAATAGAATTTTATTGAACTTGGGTAGAAGTACTTCTGGCATTCATTTGAACTGAAGTCAAGAATTAGGGGAGGGAGAACAAATGTTTCATTAGAGATATTTTGCTTCCAATTTTAATAGTGACAGCATTAAACCTGTCCTTTGCAAAGGGGTCATCTGGTCCTTACTTGAAAAGACCTATTCCTCTATGGAAATGTTCCATGGGTCCAGGGCAGGCTAACCTCACCCTTCACGGCTGATTTTCTGAACCAAGCCCATATGCTCTGAGGTGTATAAAGTGCTTTACTTCCTTTATTAAGACTTGACATAAGTGTCCCCGGAATAGTGAAGAAAGGCATCAACAATCAAATAAACCACTCTTGGAGTTTCATGTTTTTGTCATGTAGAGTTTCTCCCTTGCTTCCTTGTGTTCTTGTTTTTGTTTTTGGTATTTTTCCCTGTGTTCTTTTCAAAAACTTTTTTTCTTAAAAACAAAAAGTCTACAAACAGCAGGGGATATATAGACCCTGAAATCACCAGAAAATGAAATGTTTCCGCAGTTCTGAAATGCACTTGGTGCTCAGATGGATATGTAGGCCGTTCTATTGTCCTTTTGTAAGAAAAAGTATTTGGAAACAAAAATGAAAT